CTTTTCCATTATTAATACTATAGTGGTTTCCATTCTCTTTTCCGTTATGAATACTATAGTCATTTCCTTTCTCTTTTCCATTATTACTATTAGTAAGCCCTAAACCCCAAACCCTAAGCCCTAAACCCTAAACCCTAAGCCCCAAACCCTAAACCCTCAACCCTAAGCCCCAAACCCTAAGACCCAAACCCTAAACCCGAAACCCTAAACCCTAAACCATTATTACTAGTATTAACCTAATTACTTCTCGAGACCATCCCATGGCCTCAAGATGGCGTCGTTGTTCGGCAATGGAGCACCCCAGTCTGCCTGCTTGGGGCTTTGGGTTTAGGGCTTAGGGTTTAGGACTTGGGATGTAGGGCCTAGGGTTTAGGGTTTAGGGCTTAGGGCTTAGGGCTTAGGGTTTAAGGTTTAGGGTGTATCTCTTCTTTTTTGATTTTTTCTGTTCTTGAGGCGTGCTATCAAGGGTTCCTGGGTTGTACCCCTAAGCTGGTATGATCTGGGATCCCTAAAAGGCTTCCGCAACATGGTTCAAACATAACCCTCATAAGATGAGCCAATGTGGTCCTAGTAATGTCCTAGCCATCCAGGGCTCCTTAAAAGATCTTAAAAGGATCCTACAACCCAGAGGCACAAACCTAGGAGTACAAGCCCGAGACCGTAAACCCTAAGCCCTAAATAGTAGTTTCTATTTGATTTTCCATTATCACAATATAACCCCAATGTAACCCAAGAAGTGGGAAGTGGGATCGCAGGCTTAGGGACGAAGTGGGACTTGACGACGTGCATCCGACAACTGCTCATCCCTACCATTGGGTGGATTCGATCGAATTCTCACAACTGGATATGATTTCGAGACCAAAATTACTTATTGCAAGAAAAATGGCAGCACTATGCCAAACATACCGAACGGCTACCTCTCCTCTGGGAAATACCTGTCTCCGTCGGGCAGCACGCGTCCCACGTACGAGATGCGTCTGCTGCGATGCACCGAATCCATGACGAACATGGTCAAGGCTACCCTCTTCTTGACACAGGTTTTGACAATCACACACATACCAGCTAATGTAAGTGTGACTGTTCATACCCTGGCCAGGTCCCGGGGCCTTGCAACAGCAACAATCGAAGCCTTCAATCTGAAGGTAGGGGTTTAGATACACATCAGAAGAAGCTTACACTGCAAATTGCGTGCTTCCGACCTGAATCGGAGTTCGGCCATTCCTCGCAACGTTTGATGGCAACACTCGCGGCCTCAGAAGAAGAGAGTGACGAGCACCGTTTTCTTTTGGTTTTGGTTCGTGGTTGTTGAGGTATAGTTTTGTCACATTTGAAGGACGTTTCATACTGCCTTCGTTGATTCATGCTTCAGCCCAGCTCAACACATAAGAGGAGGGCTTCAGGTCCAGTTGCATGATTCCTGGCCTCCTGGCGCGTTTAGATGAGGGCATCCTTCTAGACGTCAGGTCGCACACATGTTAGGTGGTCACATCCTGCAACCCTGGCGAATTCAAAGAAACCCCATCCCATTTTGTTATTAAAGGAGGTGGTATGGGGGATTAATGGGGATTATATGGGGGAGTATGATTATGGGGGACATTAAGGGGACACTAGGAGTTTAGATTAGGCTCATATCATGCAGCCAAGTCTGCATGGTACATCCCCAAATCTCAGTTCCGCACGGTCCAGTCATGTGCAATGGTGGCTGTGCGCGGGCCCGATTTGCCTGCCACCAGGATCCGCAAAAACAATCCTGTCCAAGACCGAACCCGCAGATCCCTCACTGACTTGAAAGGCTCTTGGCTTCATCCTCGATCAACAGCGGGCGCAGCGTCCCAAAATCACTCTCCGAAATGACTCCATGACCATGAAGATTTTTCTCACCATTCACACTGGTGGCTCCAGAAAAGCCATGCTGCCATGGGTGGTTTTGTTTTTTTGTGAGAACGAGGGATCACACCAATATAGACCCCAAAAATAACACAATCTTTATTTTAGGAAAATTCCAATTTTTCGGAAACTCCCAAACAACCTTAGGGCCCCTTTCAGGACACCCTGGTCTTACCACTCGTTAGCAAGGAATAGAGCAAAGGATCCTGATAATTATACTACTCCCTACACCATACCCGGAATATAATAGTAGTGTCCATATAATAGTAGTGTCCATTTTCTTGTCCATTTATCGAGTCCCTGCAGAGCAGAGGTGAGTTCTACAACCCCTGTATCAATTCATTTTCCCTGTTCTTTTCCACCTGGTTCAGCCCTGAACCCTACAACCCTAAACCCTAAACCCTGTGATCCCTTCATAAACAGAAACTCGAGGCTACTGAGGCCGCAGCGGCATCCGCGGCATCTGCCTCCGCGACTAGGATCTACAGCACAAGGCTTAGGGTTAGAATATGGAATTTAAGAATTTGGGGTTTCTGGCTTTGGGATTTAGGCCCTAAACCCTAAACCTCAACCCTAAATCCTAAACCCCAAACCCTAAAGCTTAAATCTAAAACCCTAAACCTTAAATCCCTAAACCTTAAACCCCTAAACCCTAAAACCCTAAACCTTAAACCCCTAAACCCTAAACTTTATCCTAAACCCTCACATGAGATGGCAAGGCTCCCAGCCTGACCCTGGATGT